TTTCTTACAGTACAGTGACATGTGATACTGTGTACCATGTGTTTAGCCATTCCCCAAATGGTGGGCATCTACTATGTTTCCAATTCTTTGCTATCACAAAAAACATCATAGATTCCTTATGCTTGTTAAAGAAAAAAACAGAGATGTCACCAATTAGAGGACAGCTAAACAAATTATGTTAAATGAAAGTAATAGAAGATTGTGTTGTAAGAAATGATGAACATGAAGAATACAAAGGAATATGGTAAAACATAATAACTGAAACAAAGTGAATGAAGTAAGCAGAACCTGGAAAATAATATACACAATGACTACAATAATATAAATGAAAAGGACAAAAAACTCTGAATGCTGCTCCTTTTCTTCCATTCTTTATTCCTTAAGTCCTATTGTTATTCTCTACCTCAAGATTATAAACACTAAATGGTTCAGTTATCTATCTTGTGTTTTGGGCAGCAGGCTAAGACAGCAGATTATAGTTTCTAATATCATGCAGGGAGTTTAAATTCACACAAGGACATTAGGGTTTTTTTTTTAAGTTTAGCTAGAAGACTCAAGAGAAATAGCTTAGTTAACAACATAAGAGACTCAATAACATTAAACTGTTTATATTCCTATATGGGAAGATGATATCTGTAACTCTTAAGAACTATTAAGACAACTAGAAGTATTACACATAAACAGAGGGTATAGATGTGAGTTGATTATGATGGGATGATATAAAAAAACCCCCAAAATTAAGGGGAGAGAAAGAAGATTGCACAGGGAAAAGAGGGAAGGGAGAGATAGAATGCAAGGGTAGGGAACCTGTGGCCTGAGGCACTGGAATAGGGTAAATTATCTTACACAAAAGAGGTGTGTAAGATGGAGAAGATGATGGGAAGGGGTGGGGAGAGAGCTTGAACCTTACTCTCATCAGAATTGGCTCAAAGAGGGAATAACATACACACTCAGTTGGATATAGAAAGCTACCTTATCCTATGGGGAAGTAAGAAGGGATGGGGATAAGATATGAAGTGGGAACTGATAGATGGGAGGGAGGATTGGGGAGGTGATGGTCAGAAGTGAAACACTTGTGAGGAGGGACAGGGTGAAAGGTGTGTGAGAGAGAAGGATAAACAGGGGAAAAACAGGATGGAGGGAAATACAGTTATCATAACTGCAAATGTGAAAGAGATGAACTCACCCATAAAATGGAAGTGGAGAGGAGAATGGATTAAAAATCTGAATCCTACAACATGCCATTCACAAGAAACACATCTGAAGCACAGAGACACACACAGAGGTATGGTAAGGGGCTAGAGCTGAGTTTATTATGCCTCAGCTGAAGTAAAAAAAAAAAAAAAAAAAGCAGGGGTAACAATCATGATCTTAGATAAAGCAAAAGCAAAAACAGATCTAATTAAAAGAGATAAGAAAGGAAACTGTCTTATCAAAAGGTACCACAGACAATGAAGCAATAGCAATACTAAACATATGCACCAAACGCTATATAGGACCTAAATTTTTAAAGGAAAAGTTAAATGAGTTACAGGAGGAAATAGACAGTAAAACTATACTTGTGGGGGATCTCAACTTTCCCCTCTCAAAAACAGATAAATCTAACAACAACAACAATAACAAAAAAATAAACAATAAAGAAGTTAAGGAGGTAAATGGAATCTTAGAAAAGTTAGATGATAGACTTTTGAAGCAAACTCAGTGGGAATAGAAAGGAATGCACCTTTTTCTCAGCCGTACATGGCATCTACACAAAAATTGACCATTTATCAGGACATAAAAACGTCACAACTAATTCAGAAAAGCAAAAATATCAAATGCATCCTTTTCAGATAGGAATGCAATAAAAATTACATTCAATAAAGGGCAGTGAAAAGATAAATTAGGGAAAAATTTGTATCTCTAAATGCTCACATCAGTAAAAGAGAGAAAGAACAGATCAATTACATGATTTGGGTATGTAACTAAAACAAAACAAAACAAAACAAAACAAAAAAACCCAGAAAAAGAATACATAAAAAATCCCCAATTAAACACAAAATTGGAGATACCGAAAATCGAAGACAAATAAAACTGGGAGAAAAAACCATTGAGCTAATAAATAAAACTAGAAGCTGGAAAAAAAAAAAAACCAGTGAAACAGATAAACCATTTGTTAATCTGATTTAAAAAAGAGGAAAACCAAATTACCAGTATCAAAAATGAAAGAAGTCAATTCATCACCAATAAACAGGGAATTGAAGCAATTATTAGAAGCCATTTTGCCCAATTATATCCTAATAAATCTGACAATCTAAGTGAGATGGATGAATATTTACAAAAATATAAATTGCCCAGATTAACAAAAGAGGAAATTTATTACTTAAATAATCCTATCAGAGAAAAAGAAATTGAACAAGACATCAATAAATTCCTTAAGAAAAAATCCCCAGGGCCAGATGGATCACAAACATTTAAATAACAATTAATCCCAATGCTATATAAACTATTTGGGAAAATAGTCAAAGAAGGAGTCCTACCAAATTCCTTTGACAACACAAATATGGTACTGATACCTAAACCAGGAAGAATGAAAACAAGAGAAAGAAAATTATAAATCAATTTATCTAACAAATATTGATATAAAAGAACTAGCAAAGAGATTACAACAACAATATATCACCAGGATCATACACTGTGACCAGGTGGAATTTATACAAGGAATGCAAGAGGCTAGTTCATCATTAATAAAACTATCAAAATAATTAACTGTATGAATAACAAAATGAATAGAAATCATGATTATCTCAATAGATGCAGGAAAAGCATTTGACAAAATACAACACTCATTCTTATTAAAAACACTAGAGTACAGGAATAAGAGACTTCCTTAAAATGCTAAGTAGTATCTATCTAAAACCATCAGCAAGCATTATCTGTAATAGGGATAAGCTTGAAGTCTTCCCAATAAGATCAGGAGTGAAGCAAGAATGCCCATTATCATCACTATTATTCAATATTGTACTAGACATGCTAGCTATAGCAATAAGAGAAGAAACTGAAGGAATTAGAATAGGCAATGAGGTAACAAAATTATCAGTCTTTACAGATGATTTGATGGTTAGAGAATCCTAGAGAATCAACTAAAAAACTTGTTGAAATAATTAACAACTTTAGCAAAGCTGCAGAATATAAAATAAACCCACATAGGTCACCAGCATTTCCATGTATTACCAACAAAGTTCAGCAGCAAGAGATAGAGAAATTGCATTTAAAATAACTGTAGATAATATAGAATACTTGGAAGCCTACCTACTAAGACAAACCCAGAAACTATATGAACACAATTATAAAACACTTTTCATACAAATAAAGTCAGATCTAAACAACTGAAAAAATATTCATTGCTTATGGAGCGGCTGAGCCAATATAATAAAAATGACAATTCTACCTAAGTTGATTAACTTATTCAGTGCCATACCAATCAAACTACCAAAAAACTTATTTTATGGATCTAGAAGAAATGCAAATTAAGGGAGCATGGAATAGTTTACCTGTCAGATAAATGGAGAAGGGAAGAATTCAGGGCCAAATAAGAGATAGACAGCATTAAGAATATAAAATGGATAATTTTGATTATATTAAATTAAAAAGGTTTTGCACAAACAAAACTAATGCAACCAAAATTAGAAGGAAAGCAGAAAACGGGGAAAAAATTTTATAGCAAAAATTTCTGATAAAGACCTCATTTCTTAAGTGTATAGAAAACTGAATCAAGTTTATAAGAATGTAAGTCATTCTCCAACTGATAAATGGTCAAAGGATACGAACAAGCAGTTTTCAGTCAAATCAAAGCTATCTATAGTCATATGGAAAAATGCTCTAAATCACTAATGACTACAGAAATGCAAATTAAAACAACTCTGAGGTACCACTGCACACCTATCAGATTGGCTAATAGTACAGAAAAGGAAAATAATAAATGTTGGAGGAGATGTGGGAAAATTGGGACACTTCTGCACTGCTGGTGGAGTTGTGAACTGATCCAACCATTCTGGAGATTGATTTGGAACTATGCCCAAAGGGTCACAAAACTGTGCATACCCTTTGTTCCAGTAATACCACTATTAGGTCTGTATCCCAAAGAGATTAAAAAAGAGGGAGGGGGAGAGAAAGACCTATCTGTACAAGGGTATTTATAGCAGTTCTTTTTCTGATAGCAAAGAACTGGAAATAGAGAAGATGCTCATCAAGTAGGCAATGGCTGAACAAGTTGTGAGATATGATTGTAATGTAATATTATTGTGCTATAAGAAATGAAGAGCAGGATGATTTCAGAAAAACCTAGAAAGACTTACATGAACTGATGCAGAGTTAAGTGAACAGAACCAGGTGAACATTGTACACAGTAACAGCAACACTGTACAATTAATAACTGTGAATGATTTAGTTGTTCTCAGCAATACAACAATCCAAGACAATCTCAAAGAACTCACGTGGAAAAATGCTATCTGCCTCCAGAGAAAGAACCGATGGAGTCTGAAGAGAGATAGATGCATACTATTTTTTGGTTCTTTTTTTTTTTTTGGTTTGAGTTTTCTTTCACAATATGACTAATATGGAAATATGTTTTACATGACTGCACATGTATAATCCAAATCAGATTGCTTACTGTCTCATGGAGGAAGGAGGGGAGGGAGCGAAGGATAGAATTTGGAACTCAAAATTTAAAAAAAAAATGTTTAACTAGGTACCATTAAGACTTTTTAAAGCTAAATTAAGAGATTCAAATGAAGTACCTTTTTTGTAGCATAGGCAAAAAAGTTTCAAAGGAATCCTAGGAAATTAAAGTTGTCTTCAAAGACATAAATTTTTTTTGAAGAAAAAAAAAAAATCTTTTAGAAAGGATATTACAGTTGCTGCAGTAGGATTTTTAACTAGCATTCAAGGCTGGCAAGTTACCTTGCCAATCATACTTAAGATTTTACCCATCTTTACCTAGGATCCCTATACTTTCTTACTTTTATAATTCCAGTGGATACTGGTGACTTGTATCTCTTGTGTAGGTATATATTCTTCCACAAACTTCTTCCCTTGGAGTCTGTGCCAGAGGGTGGTTTTTCCTGTGTTTCTGTCTCCTCTGATTACTATTTTCACTATGTCAAAAAGAAAAGGAAAGAAAGGTCAAAAAGTGGTTAATAAAAACATATGAAAGAAATGTATGTTGGCTATTTTCATTTATTCATTTGTACGGTCCACATTCCAATGTTATCAAACCATCTTGTTTATCTGCCCCCGTGATCATATCAGTTCCATTTCCCAAACCCATTAGTGGTAACTCATCAGCAATATAAAATTTAAACCTCTACACTCAACTTTTATTTTATTTTTTTTTATTTTAGGCAATTGGAGTTAAATGACTTGCCCAGGGTCACACAGCTAGTTACATGTCAAGTGTCTGATCTGAGGCCGAATTTGAACTCAGGTCCTCCTGACTTCAGGGCCGGTGCTCTATCTACTGCGCCACCTAGCTGCCCCTACACTCAACTTTAAAGCCCAACTTTTAGAACTTTCTACCATGCCTGTCTTAGATACCTGGAATACTCTCCATCTGAACTTGAGAGTTGTAGAATTTACTGAGGCAGTGTGTGGTACTGTGGATAGGGGGCTGACTTTAGAGTCTAGAAAACCTGGGTTCAAGTTCTGTCTCTGACACATACCAACTGTGTGACTATGAGCAAGTCACTTATCTAGTACCCTGGGCAACTAAAGATAAAAGTTCCCAGACTGTTCATCTGTACCAGTAGAAGGAACTACCACACTGTGAATTCCCCAAAATCATAACACATTATAGCTACTAATTAATATCTCTCATCTAAATGTACTGCTTTTTCAATAAAGCTTTTACAAATAAATTTATTGCCCTCCTAACCTAAACCATATTTTAAATTATCCATTTTGACTAGTAGTTCCCAAATGTTTTTAATCTGTGGCTCCTTTTGATGGTGCAAAAAAAATCTCATGGATTACCTATCCTATATACTTCTCATTATCACTTTCCCTTCCCCCAAATCTTTTCCCAGTATTTATGGAAAAACAGTTATTGATTTAAGATACCAATGTAGTGATATAGATTTTTAAATCAAATATAAGACAGTTAATGACTCTGATGCTAACATATGGAAATTGTTAATATCCCTGAAACCAGGTCAAAAAAGAGCAATACCTCCCAAATGTATCCATAATAAATGGCTACAAGAATCTAGATTAGAAGACACTGTTTATTTGTCCTTGCCACAAGGAAAGAAAAGTTTCTGAGTAATTCCTACCTCTTCAGGAAACATGTAAAGATAATAGTAATCAACATTTCTATGGCACTTTGAGGTTTATAAAGAGCTTTAAATATATTACACATACATTATATATTATTCTCATGTTACAGATAAGAAAACTGAAACTAAGAGAGAAGAAACAGCATACCAAGGAGGCACACAGCTAAGGCAGTGTTCAAATGAAGGTCTTCCTGTCTCCAAGCTAATACCCTTAACTATGTGAATGGCTATGGTGGGTGGTCTTTTTTGAACATTAAGTATGCATGCGTTTTGCTACAAATGTGACTATCACATATTCAGGCACTTAAATGGTTTGTGCTATTTGTGCTTTAGGGTCAATATATATTTGCTAGATTCTCCATTTTTCTCCCAGGAAACACAATACAAATACACACACACACACACACACACACACACACACACGTATATTCTTTCTCCCTGTTTACTTCACAAACTTGTGCTCGCTTCAAAGTCTTTACTCCCACATTGGATATTATAACAACATCATCAACATTATTTATGTAGGGCTTTAAGGTTTTAATTTCTTTCTATATCTTATCTTCATCAATTAACGTACATTCAATTAGCTTCTCTATAAAATGTGACCAGTAATATCTTTCCTTCTTTCTTCACATAGCTATTATACAGATGAATATGAGAAAGCTCAGAGTTCTTTGGAGAAAGAACCCTATAGAATTTTATCTTCAGTATTATTTGAATGAAGTCCTAGGACATATGGACAGTTTAGGAACCAATATTGGCCCAGACTACCACTAATTTGTCTGCACCAAATTAGGGTATTGTCTGATTCATATTTTAGTAGGTTGCTAGAAATATTCATCAGAGTTTTATAAACTGCAAAATGCCTTGAATGATTTAAACTCTTGCACTACACAATTTACCAGATATTATCAATCTTATAAAAGCAAATGTTAGTTTTCGTCTAGGAATTTAGTTCCCCTGGTGATAAAACTGAAATAGCATCAAGCATATCCCAAAGAGCTAAATATAAAAATAAGGGGATATCTCTGTTTCTATGTTTTTGTTGTTGTTGAGTTGTGTCCAACTCTTTGTGACCCCAAGGACCCCAGCACACCAGGCCCTTCTATCTTCCACTGTCTCTCACAGTCTGTCCAAGTTGACGTTTGTTGTTTCTATGATACTATCTATCCATCTCATCCTCTGCTATCTCCTATACTACTTTCAGGTAAAAGTGATATTAAATTAATTTTTAAAATTTAAATTATAACACATAATAAACTAATCAGTTATTTCAGCAGATTAAAAAAAATCCCAAAATGATCTCTTCTAGATAGTTGCTATTAGAGCTTATTAGTCTACAAGTTCTATGTAGGCTATTTATAACAATTTTTATCTGACCTCCTTCAGTCTGACAAGATAACAGGTTATCACTTTCAATGTTTGCATTTTAATTAAACAGAATTAGAAAATTTACAAAACATGTAAAGAGGACAGTTTACAGCTTCCTAAGATTTATCAATAATAAGAGAGCAACTAGCACTCAACTATACTTTTGTAAAAATGTTGTTCAGTCATTTTCAGTTGTGTCTGACTCTTTGTGATCCTACTTGGGAGTTTTCTTGGCAAAGATGCTAGAGTGGTTTAACATTTCCTTCTCCAGCTCATTTTACAGATGGGCAAACAGGGTTAAGTGACTTGCTCAGAGTCACACAGCTAGTAATTGTCTGAGGTTGAATTTGAACTCCAGGCCCAGAGTTCTAACCATTTCACCATCTAACTGCCTCATCCAACAACATGATAGGTTTCTTCAATTAGCACTATCAACCACTTATGTATGTAGTCTATCATAGATCTAGACCTGGAAGAGGCCTTAGGATCTTTACCATCTCAGTTTACAAATAAGGAAACTGAGGTTTAAGGATGTTAACTGACTTGCTTCATTAAGGCCATATGATTAGTAAACATCATTCAAAGCCTAGAGTGTTTTTGTTTTATTTTTAAAAGATATACACATCCTAATGAGAAATGTCTGAGTTTTTTTTCCCCTTTATATCTCAAATTACAACACAAAAAACTCAAGTTTCTGTGATAAGCAAATTCTCTACTCTAAATACTAATGAAGTTTCCTTTTTACTTTGGGACCTTTTTAAATGTGTACTGGACTACTGTGTGATCTATTTGAGAAAAAAGTTTTGGCGATTGCTGGAATGTCTGTTTTTAAGTGCTGTCATTTTCTATGTTCAGCCAAGGTGAGGTGGGAAAGGAAATAAAACAATTTGTTGCCTCATATCCAGTCAAGTAATTGATATTGTGCTATATTAAGACCTCAGCAAACCAAAGAGGGTGATGCCTCTGATTACAAGAAATAGTAGGGGTAGCTGCAAGGCTAAGCAGAGATTTCATAAAAGAACTAATACTAACTTATTCCAAATCTTGGATCAGGCAATTGACAATCACTTTTTTTCTTAATAGTAAATAGCATATCTCAAATTAAAAAATGAAGCCAAATACTAGTAAATATCAGGTGAAGAAGAGTTACATACAAAAAACTCAGTTTTGGGAAGAAAACCTGTGATAAGACCAGCAATAAGAGAAACGGGAAAAGTTTATTAAAGATTATTAAAACCTAAATACAATTACCACCAGATATATTTGGTTTGCTAGCAGGTTTGAAAATATATATATAAACAACACATTTTAACATGTTATTCTCTATATAAAATATTTCTTAATGAGAACAGATCATTCACCTGGCTCAGATCAGGTACAAATTGGTAGGCCAGGACAAGCAAAGGACCATATTATTTATATCTGAAAGAAACTTTTATTCCTTTGACTCTACAGATATCTCCTTTATACCTGAAATTTACTCTCATCCAAGCCTTTCTGAACCCTCAAGCTTTCTTCAAGACTTGGCTGAGGTACTATATACTATACCTCCTAAGTCAAGCCTTTCTTGATCCCTAATGTGGCAGCTAGGTGGTGAAATGGATGGAGTGCTGGGCCTAGACTCAAAAAAAACAACAACAAAAAACCCCTGATTTAAAATTCAGCTTCCGACATTTAAAATTCAGACATTCAGATTGATACGTCTTAAAGGCAGGTGGAAGTGCAAGATTGGAGGTCAACAGTTTTGTGCAGGATAGGTAGATTTGAAAATCATCAGCATAGAGATAATAATTAAATCCATGGGAGGAGATGAGCTCACACAAGTGAAGTAGTATAGAGAGAGAAGAGGACCCAGGCCAGAACCCTAAACTACAAAAAAGTGTCCACAAAAGGTGCCTCCACCTTCTCACTTCCCACTCTCTTCTTAATCCTTTACAATCCAGTTTTCCACCTTATCTATCATTCTACCAAAACTGCTCTCAGGTAGTAACTGAATCAGATGATCTCTAAGGTCTCTATAAATTTTGAAAGCCCATGAAGTAACAGATATTCTTTTTTTTCTCCTTAACAAGTACATGAAAATTCCTAGTTCTCAGCCCACTCAGGATCAGTGGGCGACCTCCACAGAAAAACAGACATTTCTGAGAGGGAACAGATTCTAGATTGCTGCTCCAAATTACCAAGGGATTAAAGAGTCATTTAAAAATATTTCTTAAAACACAGTGTCTTATTAATGATGAGTTACAGCTTAAAGGAAAACCAGGGAATTAAACATAAATCCTACTAATTTATATGGACTACTTGGATAGTTATTTGACTTCATTGCTCTACCTTGATGAATTTAAACATTTAGTGAAAGAAACAAATGAAAATAAATTACAGCTATAATATAGTCATAGTGAACTTTGTTTTTAAATCTGACTAAGCTTTTCTGTTCATCTTCTAAATATCCTATCCTAACAGCAAGGCAAGTTACTGTGAAGATTGAAAGCTTTGTTTGAAACAGCCCTAGGGACCCCCCTGCCCCAAGTTTTATTTAAAATGGAATGAAAAGAAGTACTGTCAAAGTACAACAGAAAAGCTTTTAAATGCTGCCAATGCTTGTCGTCTTGATTTGCCATATAGCAAAATCAACTGTCAAACAATCTGTCAAACAAAAAACTTACCTGAGGATAGAACAATGTCTGGAAGATGTGGAGTTTATTTATATTATTTGAGTATGATGAAAATCTTAAATTCTCACTTTCTCTATTATCTTCAAATTATCATTTTGTTCACAATGTGTAACAGATTATATACAATAAGAGTATGCATGCTTTCTGGAGCTTTACTAAACAAAGTCCCACAGAATTACTTCTTAACCAAAAAAAAAAAAAAATTAAAGGAAGAATGAAAGGCATTGAGGTCAATGGACCTGGGTTCAAATTCTGCCTCACTACCTGTGAGACCTCAGGCAAGTCAACTCATCTCCATGGGCCTGTTTGCTCATTCTGTGAAATGAGAGAGTTGGTCTCAATGACCTATCAGAGCCTATCTATGATTTTGTAACTTTGTCAAATTTTTTTTTTCAAAATCCACATTTGAAAGTTAAGACTACAAAGAACAAGCACATGACTCAAACAGACTATAAGTTATTATATAAGAGGGTATATTAATTTAAAATCACATTAATTATAGCTAGTCTACTCTCTGAGAATTCTAGAATTAAGTTTCAAGTCATATGTTACACAACAAGAAGCTAAGTTTTCAAATTATGAAGTAATTTCTTAGGCAAAATAGGCAATGCTACCTAGAACATTGTACCAAAGAGCCCATCAGAAGCTTTAGTAAGCAATAATTTTAATATATATTTTTTAAAAATATTTTTCAATCAAAGAGAGGCTTAAGGGCAGTGAGGTGGCAGTGAGGTGGAGCAGTGGATAGAGCACCGGCCCGGGCAGACACTTGACCCTTACCAGCTGTGTGACCCTGGGCATGTTACTTAACCCCACTGCCTAGCAAAAAACAAAACAAAACAAAACAAAAAACAAAGAGAGGCTTAACAAAACTGCTACCATGGCTGTCTCATCAATATACCATTTACAGAGCATACAGAATGAGCTATGTCCTATCCAGAATTATTTAGGATGTGTAAGGGCAGCAAGAAGAGAGTCAGTGTCATATACTGCAGACTTTGTAACTTCTGTATTCTGACTCACCTTTCCAAAGAAAATTATCACTGTCTTAGAGTCATATCTGGCTTGTATAATTTCAATTTGGTAATAATTACACAATTATACAGCACAGTACCTTCTAGCATGATAATACAATCAAGTTTAAATAAAAATAAGACTAGAAAGACAGAAAGTTCCTTGAGGGAAAGAACTATACCTCATCAGTATCTTGTAAACTTCCATAGCATCTAGGACACCTGCTCATTTTAAAAATGAGGCATTGGGAGATCAAATTTCTTGCCCAAGTACACAAAAGATAGTTAACAGTTGGGGCAGGAGTTTGAACCCATGCCTTCTGACTCCAAATCCTACAATTTTCCACTGTTATTAGGCTGCCTTGGGCATTCAATAGGTAGTCATATAAGTATCTTCCAATAAAAACTGCTACACTTTTTTTTTTTTTTAGAAAAAGGGCAACGTTTTAGTTTTTAATACCTTGTATCAATAATAGCTACATACTACCAATAATAGCTGCTACTCTTGGTCTTGGTTACTTACATTTGTGACAGTATGTTGGATCATCTCAATAATATTTTAAAACTGATTCTTTGTTTTTTTGCTGAGGCAATTAGAGTTAAGTGACTTGCCCAGGGTCACACAGCTAATAAGTGTCAAATGTCTACGGTCACATTTGAACTCAGGTCCTCCTGACTCCAAGGCTGGAGCTCTATCCACTGGGCCACCTAGCTGCCCCCTTTAAAACTAATTCTAAAAAACCAGAAACAAAACAAAACTTGAATCTGGTCACATTGTCTATTTATAACTGCAAATTCTTAAAAACCGGGGAGTAGAGGAGCAATGACAAGCACAGAACACTGAATGGGCCCAGAAGACAGAACTAATTCAATCCAACCACTACTTTACTTTTCTTTAAACTTGGCACCTTTCTTTGAAACTCATCCTGAAGCATATTACCAATGAAAACTGACCTTTAATTTCTGTATCTCCAGCACACACCATAGTGCCAGGCAGATAGTAGGTGCTTAATAAATGCTCGTTGAATTAAATGGAATTTCCCCTTTTCCTTACTACTGGCTTTTAGTGAGTTTCAAAAAAAAAAAAAAGAAAAAAAAAGAAAAAAAAGAAAAAAAGGCACAGGTATGTGTTGAGGAGAGGAGGGTGTGTGGGAGGGGGATTAGAAAAAAGAAATTAGATCTGTTAGGGCTCCTAAAAGCTATAATCAGTCACTCAACTAACATTTATTAAGTGCTACCATGTGCCAGGAACTTTGCTAAGCCTTGGGGATACAAATTATAAACAAATGGGGAGACAACATTACTAACTATGTGCAAACCATGTACAGTATAAATTCGAAATAATCAACGGAAGGAAGTCACTAGAATTAAAAGAAATTGAGAAAGGCATCCTGTAGAAACTGGGCATTTTAGCTGGGACCTGAAGGAAGCCAGGAGGTAGGGACGAAGAGGGAACGCATTCTATGCTGAGGGACAGTCAGTGAAACATGCCTGGAGCCTGGAGATTGGTGTCTTGTCCAAGGAAATACCAGGAGACCAGTCAGTGTCACTAGATCACAGAGTCAGTAGGAGAGTGTGAAGTGTGCAATAGACTAGTAGGTATGGACCTCCAATTCTGATTTTACCCCCTCACTTGGGGTGTGACCTTGGGCAGGTCATGTCATCCTCCCCCTCAGCTAGCGTGTTTTTTCAGTCAAGGAGCTGAATTGGTTTAAATCCTTTGAGACTTATGAACTGATCTTCCTGCTTAAAGTCCTTGAAAACCTGTGATCCGGATGGGCTCATCTATCAATGCTAACTCTAAATCCCATGATCCTTCCAGTTTTGACTTGGTGTGACTCTATCTGGTGTTACCAGCCCCCCAAACCCTCAACCCAGACTCCTGCCCCCTCCCTTCCACTCCCATAAGGAACTACATGGGGGAAAGAAAGAAAAGTCAGGATGCTCAGTTTCCCCTACAGATAGGGGAGGGGGCAGATGGTCCCTCTTATTTCCAGAGCAGCGGCGCTCAGCACTGACTGCCAAGTGCCCCGGGGACCCCCGAAGTCGGCGAGAGCCGTTGAGGGCGCAGGGGCTTCCGGGCTCTGGGCTGCGGGGCGACTCTCCCCTCGGCCTCACTTACTGTTGTACTGCACTCCTTTGGCGAACCTCCTCTGCAGCGCCTGGTTCATGGACTGCAGCCCCGCAGGGATGTTCTTGTCCCGGCCAGGAGCCTGGTCCGACCCCACCAGCTTTTTAAGAGCGGAAAACATCTTCCTCCCTCCCTACAGCGGTCCCGGAGGATTCCGAGGGCTCCCCGGCCTCTTCAATCAGGGAGGGGCAAGCTCCGGGGGGGCGCGGGGGGTACCATGCCCGGGGAGGGGGCGCGAGGGCGAGGCTGGGGGCCAGCTGGGGGGCGGCCTCTCCCCGTCCCCCTCCCCCTGGGCAGGTTCCCGGCTGGCTCCCTCCTCAAGGCCGGGGGCGAGGGAAGCAGAGCGGTCTGTCCGGACTCGAGCTCTCTGCAGCTCGGCTCCACACGGTCGCGGGCTAACCCCGCGTTTTCTCCCTGGCTTCAGGCCAGGGATCCAGGGGTCCTCACAGGACGTGGCACAGCGTCCGCGGCCTTCGGCACTGCCGCCAGCTGCTAGCCTGAGTCGCCATCTTGGACCAGCGCGGGCGGAGGGGTAGGAGGGCGGTGAGAAGAGGCCCTCGCGGAGCTTCGCCTCAGCTACGGGGGCCCGCACGGGACATGGCAATGTGGGTGGAGCTAGTGCGCGGAGGAATGGAGTCCCCGCCCACTCCCCCTACCACGGAGGTGGCGGGGGTGGGGGGAGTAGGGGGAAGTGATGAGGCGGGGTGGGGTGGAGAGAAGGGCTAAGGGCAGTGGGGAAATCTGAATTCTTATCTTGAGTCGCCCCAACTACCCACTATTCTCAGAGACAACCCCCCACCTCTCCTCCAGATACCCCACTCACCAGACCCTCCACCTCATCTTGATGATTGATGGTGATGGTGATGAGGATGACAGCTAGGTAAGCCTTAAGGCTTGCAAACGGCTTTACAAAATGTCATCTCATTTGATCCTTGTGACAACTTTGGGAGGTAGGTGCTTTTATTATTCCCATTTTACGGATGAGGAAACTGAGGCAGAGATGTAAAATGACTTGCCCAAGGGCTGAGGGGGTGGGGGTGGGGGAAAGCAGCTGGGAGAGAGGAACAGTTGGGAGGGGGTGTCTCTCACTGTCCCCCTCTCCCAGGAAGGTAATAATGGCAGCTACACAGGATTTAAAACCAGGCTAGTCTTTGAATGAAGCATGTTTTACACTACAGCAGGCTGCACTCTGCATCCCCAAGACCCTATCTCTCACATCTAGGTTACAATGTACCTGGAGGCCATGATGTTTCATGATTTACAATTAGATAGAGTTGCTGCATTTGCATCTGTAGAATAACAGTGTTAATAAGATGGCCTTTCATGGTTGTGACCAGTTTAGGATTTTTAAAAGTATTGAATACTCACTCTCCTGAGGATCATCCATTCATCCACCTACTCCCTTCTATTCAATTGTGGTCCCAAGTTACTGTCTGTTCAATGTATAGTTCTGAACAGATGAATTAAACAGGCTGCCTATCTGTGACAAGAGACAGCATGGTACAGTGGAATAGTGTTGCATTTAGAATCAAGATGACCTGGTTTCAAATGCTAGCTCTAATACTCATGGTATAAGCATAGTCAAATCATTTAAGCTCTTTGGACCTTAGTTTGCTCCTTTATGAAATGGGTTGGGTGGAGGGAGAAGACGATGTTCGAATTAAATGATTTCATAGGTTTATAAATTTAGAGATAGAAGGAAGATGATCTCTGAATCTATAAACCTATGAGTAATTCTAGATTTAGAATTAGAATTGGAAGGATCCTGAGAGGTTGAGATAAGGAAAAAGATTCAGAAAATTTAAGTGATTTGCCCAAGGTAGGTAGTAAGGGGCGGAGTCAGGATTCAAACCCAAGTCCTCTAACTCCAAATGACTTTTTCTTGTGCTCACGTGAAGGCACACTTTGAGGAACCTCACTTATCTGGTTTGTTCCAGTGCAACCTGGGAACTTCATTAGTTAGCATTTTCCCAAGTTTGGTCACCAGCTTCCCTTCCCACTCATACTAACAAGATGTCAAAAAATAGAGCAGCTTTATTTATAAAGGGCCCAGAAAAGACTGAAATTTGAGTTCACAGAGACAGGCAACTAGCTGGCACAGTATATAGTGTACTGCACTTGGAGTTAGGAGGACCTGAGTTCAAATGCTGCATCAGACATTTACTGAGCTATGGGACCCCAAGTCACTTAAGTGCTACCCATTGATTTTACAAGCCTCTTCCTCTCTACCCAGGGAGGCCTTGTACTTATGGGGAGGGACTTGTTTTGGTCCCCACTACAAATGGATGGTGTTATCTGGTCTATATGCATTCTTTATCCACTTAGATTTTCCTGAACTACTAGGGTAATTTCTCTCAGTACCTGTTGATCTCATTGAGGAGATCCCATAGTGTTCAGTGTCAGAGGAGAGAAGGGGAAAAATTTGGAACTTAAAATCTTATGAAAGTGAATGTTGAAAGCTAAAAATAAATAAATATTTAAAAAGAGAGAATATGTTCCATTCAATATTTTACCCTTTATTAAGTGCTCTCCTCATCCATCCTGGGGAAGTGACTACTGCAAGGTGTGTTATCCTCATTTTAAAAATGCAGCTAAGACTTAGATTTTATATTTGATAAGGAGCTAGTGGAGTTTATGAGTTGGGGTGGCGGTGGGGTGAGGTGAGGGGAGAAGCTGACGTAGTCACTCCTGGGCTTCAGGAAGATGACTGACAGCTGAGTGGAGGATAGATTTCAGTGAGGAAAGACTTGGGGTAGGGAGACCAAGCTGGAAGCTATTGCAATAGTCCAGGAGTAAGGTGATGAGGTAATCACTCAAGTGACTGACTGTAGGGATCTGAACTCAGGCAGTCAAAATTTCAGGCTCTTGGTGCTTTCTTACTGCAACATGCAATTCAGGTAATACAACCCTCATATATAATAGAGGAGGAAACTATAAAGACCCAGAGAGACTTGTCCAAGGTCACTCTCAAAATGCCCCCCACCTCTCCATCCAGTTAGTTGTCAACTTTGTCAATTCTACCTTTGTAATAGCTCTCTGTCATGCCCCCCTCCTCTCCTCTGACACTGCTACCACCCTGGTGAAACCCCCTATCATATTGTTTCTGGAATACAATAGCATTCTGGTGGGACTCCCTGCCTCAAATCTCTCGGCACTCCAGTCTATCCTCCACTCAGCTCTCAAAGTGATCATCCCAGAATACAGGTTTGATCATGTCAACCTCTCTCCCACCCCCACTCACTCCACTCAATAAATTCAGTGGTTGCCTATCAAATATTAATTTTGATAAAACTCCAAATCCTGTGCTTGGCTTCTGAAACCCTTTATAATGTGTCTCTTTCTTACCTTCCTAGTCTTCTTTACCTTATTCCCTTCTATGTTCTCTGTGATCCATTGATACTGGCCTCTTCCTTTTGCTTGCGCGGGATGCTCTATTTTCTTTTTTGGGGGGGGGACAATGGGGGTTAACTGACTTGCCCAGGGTCACATAGCTAGTAAATGTTATATGTCTGAGGTCGGATTTGAAATCAGGTCCTGCTGAATCCAGAGCTGGTGCTCTATCCACTGCACCACCTAGCTACCCCTGGGATGCTCTATTTTCTGACTGGGCCTTTTTGCAGGCTGCCTCCCATGCCTGAAATGCTCTCCCTCCTTACCTCCACTTCCTGGTGGCCCTGGATTCCTTCAGGGCTCAGCTAAAATCCCACCTTCTACAACAACCTTTTCCTCATTCCCCCTTAATTCTAGTGCCTTCTCTCTGTTGATTATCTCCAATTTATCCTCCATATACTTTGTATGTACATAAGTACATACATGTTTGCATGTTGTCTCCCCCATTAGACTGTGAGCTCAAGGGCAAGGACTGTCTTTTGCCTTTCTTTGTGTCCCTATTTAGCACAGAATCAGGCAGATAATGTTTGACAGACTGATGACAAATGAGTTAGTGGCAGAGCCAGAAAGACAACCCAGGTGTCCCAATTCCCACATCCACCTCTCTTTTTGTTTTCGTGTGCTGCCTTCACAACTCTCCCTTCCTGTAAGTGGAGCTGACAGCAGGCATTGAGGGTTGCTACCTTCACTCTCCTATGATGATTATCCCACTCAAGTCCTATCTTCCCTTATCCAGGAGCTGCTGCGTGGACAGGAATGGCTTGTGCTATATTCAGTTCTGGAAAAAATTTTATTTGTGTAATAAACTGACCATGAAAGGAGGTAGTCCATTGTGAGCTGGAAAGTTGGACATGCAGGGTCTTGTGGGGTTAAGGAAAGGATCAAGACTAAAGAAGGAACTATTATTTCTTCTTTTGTTTCTTGGCATTTTTGAGTTTAGTTTCAATCAGATTTTCACTTTGCTTTTTGATCTCATCCCGGGAGGGAACATAGCTATTCTCCACATCAGGAAACTGGAAAGATTCTGGAAAAAAAATAAGGCAAAAGGAGAGTGGAGGAGCTCCTGGGCCTCACTGACTAGGAGCCCATCTGTGGAGTGTTATTTTCCCATGGGGATGGAGTCACTGGATTTGGGTACCGTTCTCATTCCAGGAGAATGACTTAGTAGCAACCTCAAATTCTTTATATCCCATCTCCCTTTCCTCCCCACCAGGGTCTTCAGCCTACCATTGTCCACAGTTAAATAGAAAATCAAGGAGGAAATACCTTATACTTTATAAACCCACACTGCACATTACTTAAACCCCTCTGAGATAATCTATAGCACATGTTCTAGTCCTTTTTCTTATGCCCTACAAGTGTAAACTGTTATTTCTTAATCAGCTGATAGACGTATGGTTGGGGTGGAGGTGTGGCAGAAAGGCCCATCTCTAATAATTCAGAAAAGATAGGCCAGGTTCTCAGAACACAGTCCACCATCATGTGTGGGACAAAGCTGATGGACAATGTGTCATTCCAATTTCATCTTGCCCCATATACTCCCAGCCCCTCCTCTTTGGGAATGCAGCTCTGAATACCTGGGAATGTTCAGCTGAAGAGCTCTGTGGAGTACTAGACACTCCACAGACTTCACCCAATCTCCCCAAGTTAAAAACTAGAACCTACATCTAATTCCTGCCTCTTATCCCTGTTGCCTAAGGTTTGTCCATGGGGAGGGTGAGGGTGGATTTACCGAAGGCAGGATCAGCAGTCTCAGACACCAGGCTGAATGGGTTTATCGCCAGATTTATCCCCTAGGCCATTGTAACTCACCTCTCCCA